GCATAATTCTGGGTTTGGTGTAACGTCTACGTGTAGATCACAAATATTGGCCAATTAAAACCAATTTCCATCATGCTATCAGGGTTAGGGTTAGCCCATCCGACCAGGGTTCTGATACTTTCTAACCCGGATCTCCGTCACAAGTTAATCTATACTAGTAATAAATTTTGTACTCAACCAGAAAGTTGGGGCGTTTTAGAAACCTCGAAAATCTTGTATCAAGAATTGTATGGAAAATTAAGATCTTCTCTTACAGCCAATCACACAAAAGTCACTTATTGTTAGATCATGTGAGTTTCGAAATTCTGGTACAAAAAAGGAGACGTCCAATAATATATCGACAAACAATCGCAAATCTGAGATTTTTAACTATAAAAATATCGGATCGAATCAACAATGCAAATTAAATCCAAAAAAAAGAAAAACTAAAGACTCGATCATATAACTTTCAAAAGTTTTAAACTACAACGATGTCAACATGGGTAATGGCAATTACCTACATAGGAGGAATGTTAGTAGTGATGAGCTCGTTTTCTTATATATGGCGAAGACGAAAAGCTGGTTAGTCATTTATTTTAAACTACTTATCAAAACTCAAGTTTTTTCTGTTTGAAAAGTGCATTTTACAAGATAGCTTTTATACAGCTTTAAAAAAAAAAAAACAAAAAAAAAACAGAAACTAGAGCTGAGAATGATTCAATTAGACTCGCTAAACTATATCTTTTTTTTGGATTCAATTTTTATTCTTTGGAATAAGCCACAATAAAATATGAACCATGGTTTCCTGAACACACTACAAGAGACATTTATATTTCACTCTTACAACAGAAATCCCCACCTGCTACCGAGCTTCAACTTAAGTCTGCACTATTACGTCGTGCCATGACTGATGTTGAGCGAGTATTAAAATTAAGGGAAGATAGGTCTGCTCTCGTTTCTCTAGTACAAAAAGGTTTGGTTGGTGAAGATCTCTGGAATTCTTTTTTGAAAGCCGAACAAGAGCTCCAACAAGATTTAATGGAAGTTACTGCGGAGGCTGATACTTTTAAAGAAGACTGGGGTCAAACAATACTTCAAACCGCTAATCAAATGGTGGAACACGAAAGACATAAGAATATTCGGGATGATATTAAAGAATTGAAGGAAAAGGAGGAAAAAGAGTTTAAAAAGAGGGAAGAAAAAGAAAAAGCTGAAGAAATTGAACATGAAAAGAGAGAGAATGCCAGATTAGAAAAAGAAAGAAAAAAAGCTGAAGAAGAATTATTGAAGATGGATGAAGCTGAAAAGAAGAAATCAAATACTGGAAAAGATAATAGAGGAAAGGGTAAAAAAAAGGAAACCAGCAAATAATAAAATTTTCATCTTTAGATAAAATCATTAAACTAAATAATAAATCAAAAATTTGTAATTGGATTGCTTATGATTTTATTTAATCGCTTTTATTTTGCTTGATATTTATTAGTGTATTAGTGCAGTTATGATTTTAATACACGTCACTGATGCACCAACGAAGCTTTTCGGTGTGTGGCGCACCGTTAGGTGCACTATTATTTATGTGACGGCAAGTTTTATCTTCCGTTTTACAGTGTGTTACGAAAAATGTCAGGTTGAATTCTTATTACGTATAACTTAATTAAAAATTGAGTTCTAAAGAATAAGTTTATTTAAAACTATATACTTATTTAGTTATCTTAATAAAAATTTTTAAGTTTGAAGAAATTCACCTACAGTATGTAGGGTTTTGTTATATGGTGCATTATGCATTTAATGTTCCCCTACTATATCTCAAAAATATTACTAGGATAACCCCTGTTATACTGTATACTGTAGCTAAGAAAAAAAATGCTTCTCTCGCAATTTTATCCTAATTTTTATCTTATTCTTACTGTATTTGTAGTTTTTTAGGATAAAAACTGTTATTATTATAATTTATAAAAAAATTATAGTACGTATGCAGTATATTAATATACTGTATATGTTTTAATTAATTAGCTCAAAAAAATTTTTTAACTATGCTATATTGTATATAATCTTTAATTTAATTTTTTTTAATATAATTAATATATCTATAGACCTTCTTAAATGCATATTTCCTAAATGCATTGTCTTTCTAAATGCATGGCCTTATTTGGCTCCAACTTACTATATATAATACTTATAAATTTTTACCTTCTTAAATGCAATACCTCTTTAAATGCAGAAGTCTAACTATATATATGAATTTTGATATGTATATAGTAATTTTGTACTTTATATTTTTATTATTATTATATTTATATATAGTATACTGTATATACTAAAAATAAAAATATTTGTATTATTATTAGCTATATAGTAAAATTATATGCAGTATATACAGTATTATACAGTAGTAATTAAATATACTGTATATACTGTAGTAGTTTATACGTAGTTATACAGTATAATATTATATTTTAATACTAAAGTTTAATTTACAGTATATTAAATTATTTAATTTAACAAAACCAATCATTTTTTTTAACATACAGTATTAGTAAAAATGGTTTAAACGTAATTATAGTATATAACAAAATTATAGTAGTTATTAAAAAAAAAACAATACAAACAATATATTATATATATACAGTATATATACTGTATATACTGTAGTTAAATACAGTATATATACCAATAATAATAATAATAATAATAATTCTGATTTAATGCTAGTATTACATTTATATGCTAGAAATACAGTATTTTATAATAAGAACGTGATTAATTACTAAAAAACAACATGCAAAAAAACCAATTTTAGAATTTTTTGATTGTGTATTTTTTATAATAGATTTATATCTAGTTACGGTGTACATCAAAAACTTGCTTTATCTAACCTTAGATAGAAATTGAGCACTCAAAGATTTGTGATGTGGGCGGGTAAGATATTTTAGGTACTGTAGGCGATTCTTGTTAGCATGACCATTGCTTTGATTTTTATGTAGCAATCAATTATACATTATATACATAGTTATAATATATTTACAATCTACCGTAAATTGCCGCATAAACCACCCGGGGGGTCTGCTGTTCTACTATGAGGGGGGTCTGTTGTGTGGTTAAAGATAACTGACCAATTAAAATTAAGCAACCCTAAGTCGGGTAGTATAATACGTGACCACATAATAGACCCGGGTCTTGTACTTTTTACCTTTCACTGAATCCAAGTAACAGACCCGGGTCTACTAGAAGGCAATTTACGGTAAATAGAAAACATTGGCATTTTGAAAAATATATATTGTTTATAATAAAGTTATTCAATTTCATGTGATCAATCAACCATTATCCATATACTATTTGATTTTCTATTTTCTGGCTACGTCAAATTGTCAGCAATTACATGAACATCATGTCTGTCTGATCATAAAAGAAAAAAATTTTTTCGTGATAAACTATTAAAACACGAACGTTACAAAAAAGAAAAACTTTCTTATTGAAAATTATCAAAATTATATACAGTATATGTTTGTTTTTGCAGTTTATTTTTATTGAATAGATACAATTTTAAAAATTAACGAATGACTTTAAACTTTTTTGCATTCTTGGTCAGGTAGTAAAATTTGATCGTTAATCTATCACCATGAGAAATTCTCCGCGCATTTTTCCCGGCATCAGTTACATAAATACAAAAATACATTAGACTGATAAAATGATGTGCACCTATAGAGGGAAAGAGCATGTGAAGTGTATTTCTTTAATCACATGTTGATATCGTGGGATTAGGATGGGGCTGAAGCTCATTTAAGATTTTGAATACCGCCAAAAGAAAATATCGATTATTTATCAATTACATATTGTACGCACGCGTTACTAATCGAGATTGTATTTAATATGTGATACAGCATAAAATTGCTGATTGGCGAATCATTGGGCGGAAAGACGCTACTTATTTCTGCATTAAAAATCATCCGCTTCCCTCCGATTACTAATTCACAAATATTTGTAAAAAGAAAAATCATATATAGTACATCGTTGTGTATGACAAATGACAAATCATAAATTTTTTAACCATTTAAAATAAATTATAATATATACATAACACAGGGTAATAAATATATATATTTTCTCGTTTTTTGAAAAAAAAAATAATCTTAGGATTTGGGATTAAATCAAGAATGAAATTCGACGATAATTCGAAGGTCGAATTGAATTATTCGACCAGACCAAATTTCCATATTTTTTTTGAATAGTAATTATACTTACTGGTATACCTACAGGTATATATTTAATTTATATCTTCATACTCTATAATATTAAAGTAAATGTAAACAAATAAAATTGGCATAATCATAAGTTTATATAAGTTCAATCAAAAGTGGAAAGAGCACGTCAAAATGTTTTTATAAAGTGGAAATGTAAATAAATGCTTTTTAATCCTTTGTTAAAAAGGCAAATAACGGAGAATACATCTTATCCGTGAATTCGAACTGCAACACCTCCTAACGTATACACACACCTCTATGAACTCAAAACTATGATGCATGGCATGACGTGAATTTACATAGAATTCAAAAATTCTATTCAACTATTTTGTTAGACTGGCATGCCGAAATAATTGTGGTGTTGCGTTGACCCACTTTGAAGTCCAATAATCCAGCCTAATTTTTGGGTAAATTCATCAATGGCTTGTCGGAACATACCATTAGAATCGCGATCATGTTGAGCGAGACTGTATAAAAAAAAACAAAAATAAAAATAAAATAAATAAAAAAGACCACATTATATTATTGATTTAATTGATTTTAATAAAATGAACATACTTTTTCGCCCATTCATTAACAACCGTTTGGCCATAAATTTTTCCTTCTCTTAGCTTACTCGCGGCATTAATAATAGCTTTTTTCCAAAAATCGGCCAATTTAACATATGCGTCATGTTTAAGTTCATTGTGTAAACTATTATCCCATCCCGGTAATCTATGAGCATAATTGGTGGCCAGATGAAGAAAGGTGAAAGTATTGATTGGAAATTCATCGGGTGATGTGAAATGGGCAGCGTAATCTAAAATGGCACCCTATAAATAAAATTAAATTGTAACATTAGATTTTAAATTAATAAATTTAATAATATATGATATTGCATATCATTAATAGTTATTAATAAGTAAAGAAAACAAATAAACCTTTAGTTCTATAAGGGCAGGCTTAACACGATTGTAACTATAGTCATCTTTGGAGTGACCCCATTTTGTATAAGGAAAACTATCTTGATATTTCTTTTCTAGATTCGTCAAAATATTCGTTACAGATTGAATAGTTGGTCGAGGAATGTTTGAGGCGATTTCCGACTGCAAGTTAGGATGCGTATCTATAAGATTATTTATCAGTGACAGCAGTTGTGGCTTATCAAGGGTCGCTAAATCCAACCAAAAAGCAGTTAGCAATATCGTAATTTCGAATATTGAAAAAAATATATATAAATATACTATATATAAATTTTTTTTAAATGAATAAAATACCTAAAAGTTTACTTAGAGGAAATTCTTTCTCGTTACTCATCTTCGTTCTCTTTACCAAGGAGTATTCTTTTTCCATTTCTTGTGTAGAGTGGGATGCCATTCTAGGTGAACTTGGAGGACTCTTGCTCTCGCCCATTGATTCGTCAAAGTCGTAGGCACTAGGTTTTCGTTTTCCTATGACTAAGCCAAAATCAAGTAAATTTTTGTTTGATTATAAGTCAAAGTTGAAGAAATAGCCTCATAAGAGACTTACTTTTTGGTGGGACTTCAGTAGCGCCAGCTCCAGTAGGCGCAACTCTTTCTCTGTAATGTGATTTTTGTACCATTGGGGCATGATGAAAAAAAGCTCCGCTTTGATGGAAAAAATTTTGTTGAAATCCATTCAACGGAAAGCATGGAGAATTGTCACTCATATTTACGGTTGATATTAAAGAAGATAGAACGGTTTCAGGCAATGAAAACAAGGTAAGTTAAACTATTTATTTATTTATGAGTAAATAAGTACTTTGTCCCAATTTTGAATGGTAGCCGAAAATAGAGAAAGTTTAGACTGAGTTTGTAGTAGTCACTAGTTGTACCGTTCTATCAATCAAATTATTAAAAAAAAAAAATTTGTTTGTACGTGGATAAAGTTTTCAACTACAGCTTATGTAGGAACTAAGTAGGGCTCGGGCTGCATACGTACAACAGAAGATCAATGCTAAAAAACTGCTATTACACGTGATTTACGCGTATTGTTCCCATTGTCTTACATTCGCTTTTAAGCAGCCACGGGAACCGCGAACTCAATTTTAAAAAGAATAATTGAATGTTTGTGTCTCAAAAGGAAGACAATCTCCGGCAATCAAATATAAGTAAATGGTAAAGTACGTACGTACGTACTTACTTCTATCGCATTCTAATTATGAAATGGATGTTCTCGTCGATCCTTGGTAATACAAACAGAAATGTCACGTATTTTCGATATCGATTCGTGTAACATGGTTCGATTATCCAGATCATTACCTAAAATATGACTTACCCTGGCATATATAAAATATACCGATACTGTAATATTGGATCTACATCACAGGTTTTACTCTTTCGTAACGATAAGAAGGTTAATTCTTAACGTTAAATTTAGACCAATTTATCGTTCTCGAATTTTACACCCATCATGGCTGGAGATCATGATAGTAAGGCATTACTAATTATTATTATTTTTTTTTCGATTACACTCATTTTTACTAATAGATTTTAAATATATTTTAAATATATTTTAAATTTAATTAATATTTTTTTTTTAATTTTCATAAACTTAACAAGTCCTCATAAAAGACCCAGCGTACGAGCGTTGGGGCTATATGCGTGAAAACACATATAAATATTTCCGTTTCAATAGCCGTAATATCCGAATTGCAATTGTTGGTTGTGTAATTATTCCTGTAGGTTTGGGTGTCCTTAGTTATGCATGTGATGTATGTTTTCTTTTTTTTTGAATTATTATCTTAAAAAGTTTAACCTTTATAATGATTGACCCTTTAAATTTTTTTTAAAAAGTATAAAGTGAAGTGGAATACCGCATTTAAAAGATCGTCAGTTTACAAAGAAAAAAGCTAATTAAAAAAATTTTTAGCAAAAATAAATTTAAGAGTGTTAGAATATAATTATGATAAATTTTCATACAATATAATGAAGAAATTCTTGGAGTTTTATATCTGGGTCTTGTTATCTGCTTGTTTAACTCGAGTCCGATAAACAAGAGATGTAAAAATTATAAAATTCGAATAAAATTTGGAAATCATAGGAATGGATTCAAGAGATTCGATCTGTTTGATTAATTCTATTAGCCAACAAATAAATAAATTTATTAATTAAAAAGAATTGAAAAAGAATTAATGTAACCCATCCTAAAAGTAAGCTAGTTTGCGCTAGTAACTTTTGATGAATTTCTTGGTTCATTAACGGAACGGATAAGTATCACATCGGTTGATCTATAGTATAGGTGGGCAATATAGAAATATTATAAGATTATAAGGCCATACAAATTTGATTACTTGGTTTTCATAACATGAAACTTTTAAATAGACCCGGCCGGCCGGCTTTTTT